AAAGAGCCTCCTAAACCCGAGAGGTCCGCCGATCCAGCTAATGCCGCCGCCGAAGCAGTTTATGCTGCTGCACTGCTCAAGTACAAGAATTGGGAGAAGGCCGATGGTGCGGTCATTAGTGTCTTCATGGGCACCACTCCTCCCGAACTTGTCGAAACCTACCACAACTACCCGTCTGCCAACGCCATTTGGCACTACATCGAAGATCGCTTCCTGAACAAGACTGCAGTGGGAGTTGCTATACTCATCCCCAGCATGTTCCAAGTGCGGCTCGAGGACTCGCCAGGCATGGCGGACTATGTCACCAAGGTGCAGTCCATTCATGGTGAACTCAAACAGTTGGGGATAGTCTTCCCCGAGCAAGCCCCTGCAGCCGCTCTCCTAGTCGGCCTCACTCCGGCATACGAAGTCACACGCAAGATGCTCTTGGGCCTTGCTCCTGCAGACCTCACATTTGCCAAGGTCTCATCCGCGCTCCTTTCTGCCGAAAAGGACAACAACGCTCAAGCCAAGGCCAATGCAATCCGCGCTCCCGTGCCTCAAGCCTATGCCGCTTCGGCGCCATTCCAGCGCAACCGCTTCCCCCCGTGTCCCTACGTCATCAAGCGCGGCCCTCGTGCTGGCCAGGTGTGTGGCGGCACCAACCACGCCCTTGCCTCCTGCTTTAAGAAGAAGGATGACGAGTGGTATGCCGTCAATGGGACCGCCTCGAAGCCGCCAAGCTGGATGGTCAATCGTGCTCCTCGCCAAGTCAATCAAGTCGAAGCGCAGGAATCCGTGCAGGCTGCTGTGGCTGCACCTGCTGATGTGCGCCTCAACATGTTGTTCCCTGGCACTGCCATGATTAATGAGACGATTTCGCAGTATCCTGGCTCACAAAGCACCTCAGCTACAATAGAGTTCACCCTCGACAGTGAGGCCACTCACACGGTTCTCAAGGAAGAACACTCCTTCAAGCCATATGAGACACCAATCCGTCTACTTGGAGCAGACTCCAGTTTCACAACACACGCCAAGGGCTCCTCCACAGTTCCGTGCCCAGCTTTTCCTTCGGGCAGTGTGACTGGCATGTGTGTTCCCACACTACGCCACAATCTCGTGGCCCAACACGAGCTCCAACGGGCAGGCGTCACCACGATCTTCCCAGCACACTCGGATCACTGTGACCTCTTCGACCCTAAGTCCAACAAGCTCCTAGCACGCTTCACACTCAACAGCAGCAAACTCTACACGCTACGTTCACCTGCACCTCTCGCCGCCCTCTCCCAAGCGCAAGCTGCCAGCACCACTCTGCGTTCGTGTCGCAGCTTCGCCAACCCAACCATCCTCTACCACCATCGCTTGGGTCACCCCAACTTCCGTACACTTGCCGACATCGCTTCCAAGAAACTTCTTCTTGGCCTCCCGTCGGCGCTTCCTCCACCAACAGACTCGCTTGCACCCACCTGCCTGGACTGCACCAAGAGCAAGCTCAGGCAGCAGCCGCACCCTTTCTCACCATCCGTCGCAGCTGCTCCGCTGGACCTAGTGCACATGGATGTCTGGGGCCCAGCTCCAGTCGCATCCCGAGGCGGTCATCAGTACTTTCTTACACTAGTCGATGACCACTCGCGGTATGTTTCTGTGCACCTCCTGCATACCAAGGCAAAGGCACCTGATGTCATCATGGCGTGGGTGCGCCAGGCTCAAGTCACGTTCAGCACTCCTCTGAAGTGCCTCCATTTTGATGGCGGGGGAGAATTTCGCAATGGCAAACTCGATAACTTCTGTGCGGCCCAAGGGATTTGGCAAACCTTCACGCTCCCCGAAAGCCCGCAGCAGAATGTCATTGCAGAGAGCCGCAACCACACCTTGGTTCAGATCGCTCGCTGCCTCCTCAGTCACGCCAAAGCACCACGGTCACTCTGGGGATATGCCCTCTTCCATGCGGCACTCCTCTACAATTTTTATCCGCATCCCCACCGGCCCGACACCACACCTACCGCTCTCTGGCTTGGGGTCACGCCTTCCGCCCGCTCTCTACGCGTCTGGGGGTGTACCGCGTATGTGTTGCTAAGCCCCCACACACGCAGGAAGCAAGGTGGCAAGCTTGGTCCCAAAACCCAGACCTGCATGTACCTGGGGCACAACTCCGACTCCCCAGACTACTTATTCATCAACCCAATCACCAGACAGCTGATTCGCAGCCGTGATGTCGTCTTCGATGAGACACGCCCATTCCACTCTGCGACCACGGGCGAGCCTCCTCCACCTCCCCCGATGCTTGTTTGGGCAGACTTCGATGCCCCACCTCCAGCCGCTGCCCCTTCTCTGGGGCCTTCTCCGTCCGGCGTGTCTCACCTGGCCTCCCCAGTATCCTCCGCAGCGGCACCTCCTCCTGCTCCGCCTTCCCCGCGCGTCGAGCCCGGCTCACCAGTCTCCTATCGGAGGCGCCCAGTCCCTCCAGTCCCACTGCAGCCGCCTTCGTCTCCGGTCTCTAGTCGCACTCGTTCCAAGGGACCGGCTCCGCCTCTAGCCTGGGGACCAGCCGCCTTCTCCATCCGGTGTTCGGTCACCCCGCCTCCTCCTGCCGGGGGTGATGTCCCCTCCATCCGTATTCCCCCCCGTGCACTTCTGGAGGACAGGCATGAGGAGCTGTTTGACTTTCACGCGGTCTGCCAATTTCTCTCTCACATCTTCCCGGACATTACTGACTGCCCTTCCCTCAACTTCACCGAGAACCCGACCATTCCGACTCCTCGCACAAAAGAGGAAGCTCTCTCGGGGCCTTATAAGAAGGAGTGGAAGGCAGCAATGGATGTGGAGAACGAGGCGTTCATTCGCAACAACAGCTTTGACGATGTTGTTCCCCCTTCCGGTGTCAACATCGTCGGCGGAAAATGGATCTTCCGAGTCAAACAACTCCCAGGCGAAGCTCCACTGTTCAAGGCACGATACGTGGCAGAGGGTTTCACCCAGAAGGAGTATCTCGACTTCTTCGAAACCTTCTCGCCCACGGCCAAGCTCCCGACTGTGCGCGCTCTTCTTGATATAGCCGCTCGCGGCAACTTCGAGATCAAGTCCATGGACGCCTCCTCCGCCTTTCTCCAAGGCCAGCTCAAGGAGGATGTTCACATGGAACGCCCACCGGGTTTTCCTGGCACTTACCCTGCCAGCACAGTGTGGAAGCTGAAGCGCCCAGTGTATGGCCTCAAGCAGGCTCCTCGTGAGTGGCACAACAAGGTGAAGGAATTCCTCCTCACACTTGACTTCCATCCCTCTGCCTCAGATTCCAGTCTCTTCGTTCGTCACTCCTCCGAGCCCTTCTACATCCTCGTCTACGTCGACGACTTCATTCTAGCCGCCAGAGATCTAGCCGACATGGCAGCTGTCCAGTCTGCTCTCAGCTCCGCCCTTCTCAGGAAGGATCTTGGTGACCTCAAGAACTACCTGGGGATGGAGATCACTCGTGACCGCCAGGCTTGCACGATCACCCTCTCCCAGGAGTCCTACATCGACAACCGTCTCAAGCGGTTTGACATGGACTCCAGTAACTCTGTCTCCACTCCACTCCCACTACAGCATCAGCTCACGGCCCCTCCAGTTCCTTCTCCTGACGCCTGCAAGGACCCGTACCCTGAGCTAGTCGGTTCACTCATGTATGCCATGATGTGCACTCGACCATATTTGGCTTACCCGGTTAGTGTCCTCTCTCGGTACGTCTCCCCCGGACGCTACACTGCCTCGCATTGGTCTGCAGCCAAGAGGGTCCTCCGCTATCTACAAGTCACCAAGTCTCACATCCTCACTCTTGGTGGTACCTCTCCAGTCAAGCTCGAGGGATACACAGACTCCTCATGGGCCGATGACCAGACTGACAGACGCTCCTCCCAAGGGTACTGCTTCACCCTTGGTAGCGGAGTCATCAGCTGGCGCTCCACTCGGTCCTCTGCAGTCTCCCTGTCGTCCTGCGAGGCCGAGCTCTACGCGGGCACAATGGCTGCTCAAGAGGCACACTGGCTCTCCTTTCTTCTCGCTGAGTTAGGCTACCCCCAGCAGTCGCCCACCCTGTGGTGTGACAACCAGAGCGCCATTCACCTCACCAAGGATCCTGTGTTCCACTCTCGCACCAAGCACATCGAACTTCGTCATTTCTTCATCCGAGATCTTGTTCAGAGTGACCAGCTGACGGTACGGTACATCTCCTCAGATTGCAACCTCGCCCACCTCTTTACCAAGGCTCTCGGCAAGGCTGACCACCATCGCCTTCTCCGTTCCATGGGGCTATGTGCTCCTTGATCGGGTTTGCAGTCTATGGGGGTGTGTTAGAAATAGACTGCAAATACCACTTTTGTATTTGTACTTTTATATCCTAGTTTAGGTTATGAATGTTCTGGTGGGTTGGGGTGTACTCACAAATCCCAACCTCATCCAATTGTGATCCCCCCAATCTCCAATTACCCAATTGGAGATTCAGGAGATCCCAATGGGGATTCCCTCTGATTCCCCCTTCATCCATTCACTCTCACCTTGCCATGTACTTATAGAGCCTTGGGCTCCTTACCTAATCAATCATTTCAACTCTATTTCTTACACTAAGGGCCGGCAGGCACGCGAGGGGCCGACGGGGCGTGAAGGGCCGGCGGGGTGCTAAGGGTCGGCAAGGCGCTAAGGGCCGGCAAGACGCGCGAGGGGCCAGCAAGGTATGCGAGGGGCCGGCGTGGCGCTAAGGGCCGGCGGGGCGCTAAGGGCCGGCGGGCATGCTAGGGGGCGGTGGGGTGCGAGAGGGGCTGGCGGGGCGCTTGGGGCCGGCGTCGCGCTAAGGGCCGGCAAGACGCGTAGAGGACCAGCGGGCGGGAGCGGGGTCGTCGGGGCGCTAAGGGCTGGCGGGGCACGCTAGCGCTAGGGTACGACGGGTCGGTAGGCTAGGGCGAGGGCGGAAGCGGGTGGGCGGACTTAACCTAGTATGATACCATGTTAAATTAGCAGAATGAACTAGAACAAGTGAGAACAGGGGAGATATAGGGTTGGAGTTGTACCCTCTACATATAAACATATGTATAAGTTGACACTAAACTGGGGCGTGTTTGACACTACGATGGAAGACATGATTTCGCAGGGAGGACACACGACGGTGTGCCCAAACTGTGCCTTACCGAGGCGTGAGATCACTTGCTCAAAACCGATTTCCAGAATTCGAAACACTCCCTGACGCGATATTGATTACTGCTGGAAAAACAGATATGCATGTAACTTGACATTGCGTGTACACAAATGCGTTGAGAATGCGCACAAATATAGAAATTTCCAGAATTGCCTTGCACACTGAATTTTTAGTGAAGGCCCCATACCTCTTATCCTAGAGATGGAGAAAAGAACCTACAAATGCGCAAGAGTTCAAACTACTAGGTTGAGGCATTGCTGCAAACAATTGATAAATCATACAAGGGACCTAATGGAGCGACAGAGGAGACCGGTGTCAATTATATGCTAGGGTCCGATCCCAAAGCTGATGCATGGTGGTGATGAAGTCGTGTGCGGGTTGGACTGTGGTTGATGCTGCTGGTTTTTTTGGCGTGAGCGGTTGCGTCTGTAATAGAGGAAGAATGGCATCTGTTCAGTAGCGGCGTAAGTGGCGTTCTTGTAGGCAAACTCTAGGACGGGTAGATGCAAATCCCACTAAGAGATTTCGTCCTTGCATGATGCGCAAAGGAGTTGCTCTACAATTCGGTTGAGGCACTCGGTCTGTCCATCTGTCTGCGGATGGTAGGCGGATGACATGGTAAGTTTGGTCACGAGCAGAGACATCAGTTCCTTCCAGAACTTGCTGTTGAACTTGGGGTCTCAGTTGGAGATGAGTGTGGTTGGAATGCCATGCTGTGAGATGATGTAGTGAACGAACACTTGTGCCATCTCCTCGGTGCGTGCTGTCATGTGTGTTGGGATGAAGTGTCCCATTTTGGAGAATTTGTCGATGAGGATGAGGATTGCATCATGACCGCTTGTAGTAGTTGGTAACCCAGTTATGAAGTCTAGGCTAAAGACTTGCCATGGCTGTTCTGGTACAGGAACAGGCTATAGCAGTCATGCCATTTCTGCTTGTTGCTCTTCATCCGCTGACATGTGTCGCACGAGGTGACAAATTTCTGTATGTCGTCTGCCATGTGGAGGCAGTAGTAGTGCATTGCAATACCGGTGAGGGTCTTGTTGCTACCGAAGTGCCCTGCGTATAGGATATCGTGGTATTCTTTGGGTAGTAACTAGTGCAATGGAGGGTAATTGGGTACCCATATTTTTGTTAATCCTTTCCGGTAAGTGATGTCACGGTCCCACTGTAGGAGGTGTCTCTTTTCTGCCTAGGGAAATTCGGGGTCAGCGGTTTACCCGTGTGTGAAGAGTCCCTTGAGTAGTGGGTTCATCCCTTCGACCTGGATAGTGGCAACGTGTGCCGGCCGGCTAAGAGTGTCTACTTTGTTTTTGTGGCCGGGTTTGTACACAATGTCGTGGTGGAATTGCGTCTCGAGGAAGTCAATCCACCAAACCTACCGCCTGGAGAGGTTTGGCTGCGTCTTCAAATGTTTCGGGCTATAGTGGTCGGTATAGACGGCTGTTTTTTGTCCTTCGAGGTAACATCTCCACGTTTTGAAGGCGATGATAATAGCAAGGGCTTCCTTGTCATGTATCGGGTAGTTTACATCTGCCCCATGCAGTTTTTTGTTGAGGTAGGCGATTGGTTGCAGTCCATTCCCCTGGTCTTGCATCAAGACTGCTCCCACTCCCTGGTCACTAGCGCCAGCATCGATGACGTAGTCGCGTACGAGGTCTGGCAAGATGGGTACGGGTGCAGACGTGAGTGCTTGTTTCAACTGCTCCACAACTTCCTAATGTTTTGGTTCCCACTTATAGGGCGTGTTCTTCTTCAGCGGATTCGTGATTGGTGCGGCGATTTTTACGTAATGTGGCACGAACATGTTGTAGTTAGCGAAGCCTAGGAATTGCTGCAACTCCTTCATGTTCTCAAGTGTCTTCTACGTGCGTAGAGCTTCGATATTCTTGGGGTCGACGTGAACTCCTTGAACGCTCACCATGTGTCCTAGGAATCCAACCTTCTTGAGGGCGAATCCTCTCTTGGACAATTTGACGTAGAATCGTTCTCGTCGAAGAATGTCGAAGACGCATCGCAGGTGTTCGACGTGCTGCTTCATGTCGAGCGAGCAGATGAGGATGTTATCCAGGTATACCACCACGCATTCGTCGAAGAGTGGGTGTAGAATGTGGTTCATTTTGGCTTGGAATGTTGCCGGTGCGTTGGTGTGTCCGATCGGCAATACCAGATACTTGTACGACCTGTACCGAGTTTGGAAGGCAGTTTTGTGGATGGAATTGTCTGCCATTCTTATCTGCAAGTATCCAGGTCCCACATCCAGTTTGGAAAATACCGTGGCTCCTCGAAGCTGGTCAAGCAGGTAATCGATTCGTGGAATCGGGTATATATTCTTGATGTTCTGCTTGTTGAGGGATCGGTAATTGATGCACATGCGCAGGCTTCCGTCTGGTTTCGGTGTGAAGAAAACGGGGGCACCGTATGGCGATGTGGATGGTCGGATGCGTCCTTTTGCGAGGAGATACTCGATCTGCTTCTTCATGTCGGCTAACTCTGTGGGGCTGAGCCGATATGGTGCTCGGAAGGTCGGCTTCGAATTTGGTTCTTCCACGATCTCGTGTTGGTGTGTTTGGTATGGCAGCCACTCGTTCGGAAGGTCGTCGGGAAGAATGTCTTGGAACTCCTTCAGTAATTCCTTATTTTTTCTGGAGGTTCCGTGGTTTTCTCTCTGTCGTCTTCCACATCTGTTGCTATCGCTAGGAACCTGGTGTCGGTTCATTTCACGTCCTTCTCGAACCTAGCGAGTGTCTCCACTAGGATATCTCTTGTGTCGTCCCAGTTGGGAAGCTGGAATCTTCTTCCATTGTTGTAGATGCTTGCGGTACGGTTTACCCAATTGATCTCGAGGCTGTTTTTTTTAGGAAGTCTCGCCCGAAGATCAAGTCAAACCCTTTTATTTTGGTGATGGGGAGTGCAGGTTTACAATGCAGTGGTCTGATTTGTAGGTGTAACACTGCTTCTCCATACACTGGTAACTTGCTGCCGTCCATCATCGTTGCAGAGAATGCTAAAGGCTTGTACTCTTCCCGAAGTCAGTCGATTGCTGCCTTGTCGCATACGGTGTGTGACGCTCCGCTGTCCACGAGTGCTATGAGGCGTCGTCCTTTGCAGATGACCTCAAGCACGAGGGACAGGTTTTGCTCGGAGTACCCAAAGATAGTTTCGTTCATAGAATCATAGGGTACATCCCAATATTCCGTACACACCTTATCATTGCTATCTTCTCCTGGGCTTGCAGCTAGCCGAGGCTGCTTGGAGAAAGGCTCGTCCCCAGGGCCCGGAGTTTCCTTGATGACTGTATGTGTCGTTGATGCTGAAGTTGCTGAGCTGGATGCATTCAAAGGAGGAGTTCGGGGCTTTTGCAGCTACTTGTAGACCCCCAGCCTCCTCTTGAGCTGCTTCAGCTCCACGAATGTCTTCCCTGGGGAACGGGTAGTCGTTGTGGGCTGGTGTCGGGAGAGGACGTTGACTCCGTGGAAAGTTCGGGTTCTCTTCACACTCCTTAATTTTGCCCCAAGTTCTCCGGTACTTGTACGATCTCCACAATTTACTGCTTCTTTTGGAATCCCTCCCAAAATTTATCCGAGGGTCTAGCCCCTCGAGAATCATAAGTTTTCGTTAAAGCATCTTCATAAGATAACTTTATCGAATCCTTATCATTTCTTGGGTCTTGTAGGAGTTTCCCTGTCTCGTCACATTCCTTTTTCGCGGAGTCAGATTCTTTCTTGGCGATTTTCCTTGGCGAAGACTAGTCGCGGGGTGGAGATTTTCATCCATCATTTCCTCCTGCTCGCGTCGAATCAGCTTTGTTGAAGATGATTTTCCTGGAATCCCGCCGCCGCTTTCGGATATTTTCCTTTTCGCCAACTAGATCCGCAATCACTGGCGATTCCCGTTTTTTGTCTTCTGATTGGCCAAAGAATTTCCGCCAGTGTTGCGTGCCCGATACTATGCAAGTCCGGCTTTCATTTATTACAGTCGAAGATTCGATGACCCAGCACCCAGCAAAAATCACACGTGAAGTTGGCATTTTTCGGACGTGGCTGCCCATCGAACCAGCCGATTTCCATCGGGTCGGCGAACATGGGGTGAGCCGAGTGGTTGCCCTATCGCGTACTGCCGATGTGCACCTGTCCTGTTTTGGCGTTGACCATGTCAAACCGCTCTGCTACCGAAAAGACGTCACTGTAGCTCGTGTAGTTTGTCGCTGCTACCTGTCGTTTGACTTCGGTCTTCAGCCCGGCGACATACGACTGTACTTTTTCCCCTTCGGTCAGGTCAAGAATGCGGTTATAAAATTCTTCCATCTGCTGCATGCACTTCGCTAAACTCCCGAACTGTCGATGGCGATGATGTTTTTCCCAGGCAAGGAAACCAAAATTTATCGGCTCGAAACGTTTCAGCAGGTCGGTGCGGAACTGCTGCCATGTGGCTTCGCCATGGATGAAGGTATTGTTGCCGCCGATCCACTCAAGTGCCGGCCCTTGCATCAGTGTCACCGCGAGTCACACGCGCTGACCGTCCCAAACTGGGGAGCTCCATCCGGTGGCTGCGAAGTATATCTCCATGCCAGCGATCCATCTGCAGACGTCGGAATTTCGAATGCTCGAATCGAACAGCTCAGGTGAGTGCGGCTTCGGACCCTCGAGAAACTACTGCGACTGATGCATTGCCACTGTTGTCATTTTGTGCTGCGCGCCGGCGAGTTTAGTTACTCGCTCGAACTCGTTTTGCCAAGCTTCGCGGTCAGCTTGCATCTCCTCCTGTAGGGCAGCGATGCGCGCGAAGAGCTGCTGAGTAACCTCAGCGTTGTCGAAGTTCGTGATCCTGTTCAAAATACGTGCGGGGGGGTTGATT